TCTAAGTAAGTGAAGAGAGACAGTATAATATGTAAGACAGAATTACAAAAGATAAAAGCTGCTGAATCTAGTCACTGAATACTGTATTATATAGAGATTACATAAGAGTAGTGACTAGCAGATAAAGAAAAAGTGTAAGAAAAGAAAAGAAATAATGAATTGATCATCAATTATAAGAGTTAACTGTAAAAGACAAATATTATTATATACATCTCATTCATTTTCATACACTATATATTTAATCTATTTCCAACATCATATCACCTGAAAAACATCAAAAATAAAGAAAATCTCAAAACTCAAGATCTGTAAGAGATTTGAGAGCTGTAAGCCACTCTTGCAATAACACTGTACATGTCTTCAATTCCTCTATCACTCTGTGTACAATATTAATGTCATTTATCACAAGATTGGCTGAAATGCCAATATAGAAATGTGTATGTATATACATAGAGAAATTGAAGAAGAGTATAGAACCTGCAGAATCAGAAGCCAGAGCAGAGAGAGTAAAGACAGAAGAAATGAAAGAGAGAGACACAGAATTGAATAAATAACAGTAGAAGTCACTCAGCACTGAATACTTACAACTCAGTGTACACACAATCTTTCTCACAGAGAAGGAAGAGAAAGCAACAGAAGAAGCTTAAGAGTGAGAGAGAGTAGTCTCAGTGACATTATCATCTTGAATTAGAATGATCTCTGATACTGAAGTAACTAAGAACTATTATTAGTGTATGAAAATTGTAAACTCAGAGATGAGAACAGTTATTGAATAAACACTCACTGATCTTAGAGTTGTACATATAATTACAACACATACAAGGCTTCTCAGAAAGAGAGAGAGAGACACAGAGAAATGCAGAAAGTAGAATGCAGTGTGTGAATGACTCATTCTCATAATAACATCTCAGACAAGATATATAAGTCTTATATTCATGAGTGTAAAAGAGAATAACATCTGCATTCTCATTTCTGAAAATATGAATATCTTTCATCTGCATCATGAAGTTGAATAACAGATGTCAGAGAATAGACTGATACAGATCTATTATTCTGAAGAAATTTATCAGAGTGAATATTCTTATAATATTGAACTTTACAGTTATAAAAAGCTTCTTAATATCTGTGAATATCATAACTTCATACACAGTAAAACTTATAATGATTTTTTCTAAAAACAGAAAAATCAGTATCAGAAAGAAAAGATGAAAAAGAAAAAGACTTATAATCTTAATACTATTGAGAGAGAAAGTGATTCTCTGATATGAATGAATAATTGTCTCATCATAAATATTTAAAATGAATGTAATAATCAGCATTTATAACTGAGCTTCAGATAGTTATATTATACACAGTCTTTGTACAATAAATTGTTCTGAGAGTCAGTAAGAAGAGCAGAAGTATATACACTGAGAAATGTAGTTTATTAAGTCTATACAATATCTTCTTGAAATGAGAAGAGCTGATAATGAAAGCAGAGACAGTAAAACCAGAAGTAGCAGAAGTGAGAGTCACAGGAACAGAGATAGTGAGAGAGGGAGAATCAGACACAGAGACAGATGCAGAAGATTGAGAGAAAGTAACAGAGAAAGAAACAGAGAGAGTAGAAAGAAATACACAAGACTCAGTCACACATGACATAGACAATTTCTTCATTATTATGTTCTTCAAGTTCTCAATCAATGATTCAACACTGAGTTCACTATCATTAATGAACACAGATCTGTCAATATATGAAGATTCTATATAAATAAAAACAACATATCAGCATCTGCATTCATGCAAAATTATACAAGAAAACACAATCAGAAACCTGCTGAGAAGGAAAAGATTAAGAGTGTATAAGAAGATGAAGAAGATGTGTCATTCATAATAGTATGTTCTGACAATCATTAGAAGATAAATAAGTCCTAATCATATACATTTCATAATGCATTACACTTACTGCAAATAAACTGCCTGATATAAGCACTACAATGACACTTATTGTGAGAACAGAGAGTCATCACCAGAAACATGTACAATGTGATAAATGAACAGATGAAAAGAGTTGAATAGAAGAAGAGATAGAAATCTTGAATAAGATAGTAATGTTCAATAATGATAATGATGAAGAAGATGATTGAAGAATGAGAAAAGTTAGTAAATGAGTGATATAATATAGTGAAAGTTTCTTTGTGAGAGTGTATGCAGAATGCTAGCTGAATCAGAGATAGATCACATAATTGTGAAACACTAGTAATGAGCTAATCTGCATGAAGCTAGGGTGTACAACATGGTCATGTGGGCGTGACTGAATCTGATGAGAGAGGATGTGGTTTGAAAGAATGTATGACTGTCAGATAATAACGCGGCCGCTTCTGAACTAGCTTATGAGTGTAAAGAGGGTCATAGCAGCCACTAATTAATTTAGCGTATGATATTACAATATATAAGAAGCCGGCGTACGCCTGTAATCGTACGCTGGCAAGCAACCTTTGAATTATATTCAGTAGTCTCTCTATCTTGATAATTCTTTGTTGAATATAATATTTAAAATTCAACTTGGAGTTTAACCATACTTCTAGCTATTTGACATTCAAACTGGGTTTAATCTCTTTATTCAAAAGAGTTAGACTTAGTTCTTTCTCATTAAATCTGGAAAAAAAGTGAATTAACTCAGTTTTATTCATATTAAATTGAATTAGATTGATATCTGCTCTAACAAAGATTTTCTTTACTACTTTCTCAATCATTTCTAAATTCTCTTTGATTATTATTGACTGTAGAGTAGATCAATATCCTCTATATAACTTGAAGATCTCATTATTTTCATCTCTCTATTCTTGAATAGATATGCAGTGTATATTGCAAATAAAACAGGTGAGATTGAAGATTCTTATGATACTTCTATTTTTATCTCAGTTTTATCTTATTTTCTTCTATCAAAGAATAGTTGTATAATTCTTTTGAATATAAAATAATTAACTCATTTTATTAGAGAAAGTGACAGTTTTAATATCTTCAAAGTTTGAATCATCTTAGACTTTGAAACATGATTAAATGCATCTTTTATATCAATAAAAACTGCAGTTGAGACCAGGTCTTCATGCTTTGCTACTTGAATATCATGAATAACTGAAAGAATAGTATCAATTGCAGAACATTGTTTTCTATCTCTCATTTGTTTATTAAATAGAAGAGAATTACTAATAGAGCTTATAAAAGATAATCTAGTAGCTATTATCTTTTCTAAAATTTTTCTCAAACAGTTCAACAGAGATATTACTCTATATAACTTAGAAATTGAAGCTTTTCTATTAGATTTTGCAAGGATTACTCCAGTAGCTTCTCTCCAGCATTCAGAGTGATACTCATTTTTTAAGAGATTGAAAAAGAGCTCAAAATATTCATTCTTCAAGTAGGAATATGTGTTTTGAATAATTAAGTGATTAATTGAATCAGGCCCTGCAGCAGTCTTAATTGAACTTGAGAATATTACTAACTCTAGTTCATCACATGTAAGCTCAGGCCATTCCCAGTTATTTTCATCAATATATTCATGAAATGACATATTCTTCTCTTCTAAATGTGATGAGTTTTGAAAGAGAATTCTCATAAAAGCTTGATATTTTTCATCAAAAGAGTTTGCTGTATACAATATATTCTGAAATTCATATTCTAAGATTGAAAGCTTTGCTACACTTCTTGTTTTAGTACAGTTGAAGGCTTTAAAGACTTCTTTTTCTTATACTTCTTCAAGAAATTTATTTCAGCAATCTGTTTTGACTCTTTTAATATCTGAAAAATATTCATTTTGAATAGTTTTGAACTCTTCATCATATATTAAAGAAGCGGGATTTCTTACAATATTACATCTGAATAATGTTATAAAGTGATTGAAAACTGATTCAAACAGTCTGTGAGATAAATGAAATCATTCATAGAGAAGTAATAAGCTGTGTGAAACTGCAACAGAGTCTTAACATAGCTAGACTGATTATATAACTGTATCTGAGATCAGAATCAGGTTTTTTGATAGTCTTATTACTAATTTAACTGATTTCATTACACAGTTTTAACATTAGATAGTAGTCTTATACTGTCTTAGTAAGACTTACTATCTACTCTTATTACATTTTTTAAATAAGATTATGATTTTCACTTCTCAATTTAAATTATTTTTATTGCTTTAAATGACTTTAAATCTTATTTAAGTGTTATTAAAAAGCATTACTTTTTAAAAAATTAAAAATAGTCTAAAAAAAACCTTAAAATGTCTAAAAATAGTAACTTTATATCAAGAATGAGACTAAATGAGACTAAATGAAATTACTTTCTCATTTTTTTCAAGTCATGATTTCATTTTAAGATCTGATATATAGTTACTTTACATGTTTTTTTAATAACTAGTCTCAGCAGAATTCATATCAAGAAATGTATAAGATCAAACTAAATAAGATTAAATGTGAAATTCATAATCTCAGTAATAAGTCTAAATACAGCTGAAAGTATAACACAGATCTTTAAAATTATTATTAAACTTATTTATTATAGTTATTCTTTAATTTATTACAGATATTAATGAGCTCACTATTACTTTCTGTTACACTTTCAGTGTTTCTGAATTTCTTTTTCTATACACAGATATGTATTTCTTCATCAAATCTAATATTCTACTGAATCTTAAATTAATTATAGATTTAACTATTTATAAAGAGATATTTAAACATGTTTAATAATATATGAAGATGTGATTAGCATATTATCAGTGATTATTCATAAAAGAGCCTCATAACCTGTTAGAGGATAATGTTATCATCTATAATCTATCTAGGGTGAAACTATATATACGTTGGGTAAGTTGGGTGGCACGTGATTAGGGTAGGTGTAGTAATCACCAACATAAATACGCCACAGGCTGTAAACATTCTTTGTGCAAATCAGGAAGCCAACTTCATCTTTTCGCCGTCTAGTCCCTACTCAATTGAAGTCCCGTTACATAGAATTCAAGAGGCACAATGTCACGTCCTAACCCAGCCCAACGGAACCTGACACTGACTGAGGAGCTAGAGAGACTGGAGCAGTCTATAACATTGACCCTGCAAGGTGCAGTTCTGCCATCATCCGCGCTCTGCGTTATCCGTAATGACATGAAGAAGCTAGACATATCAAGAAACTAATAAATATATGTGCCACTTTATAGAAATTGATCACAATTTCAGCCGTGCTCACAGGATAGTTACCACAAGCATTCTTCCCACCGTTGAACAATACTCTGGGCAGTCGAGAGAAGTATGGGAGGGGTCAAAGGTTGGCCGTCTCCAACAACACGCAGTCCGCAGTGCAAAAGTGCCACCTATTATAACTAACTTATAAATAAATTAGTTTTGGAAACAATTCTTTGAGTCTAGTGCCAATGTGTCGCTTTCCGGCTACGAAGAACACCCACCCAGTGACAGCGGACAGGAAGGCACTTACACTGAGAACTCTACATACACCACCCGCACCTCCACAGACGAAGATGCTGCGGCATCATATGCCACTCCGTCATCTGAATCGTTAAACCTCCACCACCGAGATGATGCTCCGGACCTCTCTTCCCTCACAATAACACCATCCCACAGCACCCTGCGACCAAAATCACATTCAATACGGGATGAGATCGACGATATTACCAGCTCATCCATCGACTACCCCTCCTCCTATGAAACTCTCCGCCACGAATGGGATGACACCCCCTCCCAATCAAGAAACGCGGACCCAGTCACTCCTGGGAGGTCACAATGGACCCACGGCGGCGCACGAGACACGGCCGTAACGCCAACAACCTCAGCGTTCGCCCCACTCACCCCGCATCAGATGCCATCCACATCGAAAAAGGCCGGCAAGCCAACAGATCCCGTCCTCCACCGCGTCCTAGATAAAACCTACCGTATCCAGGCAACACCCCTCGCCACTGCCCGCAAAACCTACGGCCACGATACCCGAGGCATCAGCACGCCCAGATTCAAGCCCAAGCCGGGCTACCTGGACTCCTCACCCATCTCCAGCCCTGAAATCGAAGTGCCAAAACTTCACTCAGAGATTTTCTCGTCCCCGATCAAGGATGACGACGACGATGATGATAATGATAGACCACCTCGTCAGCGACGGCCAAACAAACCATCCCGACTCCCACGACCGGGCATAAGCGTGCTTGCGCCAGCCGAACACAACCCTTCGCGGCTGCCAAATAAATCCGGAGAATGGCCTAGTGACGATGACCTCGATGACGACGATGAAGATGACCCCACCGCGCTGTTTGGCCATAGTCCACCGAAAACGATCCAGTTTCATATTCCGCAGAGCAGGCTGCTTCAGACTCCAGGTATGTTTTAGCAATGGCAACTCACTCACCACCTTATATGGACAGGTTGAGACTCAGCGTTGGGGCGAGGGAAAGTATGCTTTGTTGCAAACCAACTAACTGAGAAAATACAAAATCACAGCGAAAGAAGCCTCCAAGCGAATCGTTTCTGAACTCCTCTACACCGCCGGTTGCGGCGATGATATCACGGACGAGGATGAAAGTAGCCCTAGCGTCATTCGTCGCGCAGCCGGGTTGGAAGACGAGAGCTTCTGAATAGTAATGATAATACAATAACAAAATATACAAGGCATAATAAAATTGCCATGCGCACTTTAAACATATACCGTTTTACTACTGGACGCGGTTAAGCGGATCTACTTGAGTAAGTTTGTATGAAACTCTACGAATAAAACTCACAGATTATAGCTTGGTACCTGTGTAAATTTAACCAAACGATTAAGGTATATGGAATGTGACGGTTGGAATGGCGACCCCCAATGATATTCCCGTGGTTGCAAGATATCTTCTTGGATGCACCCGTTGATATTGAAAGAATATCAAAAAGAAGGAATAGGAAGGATGATAAACAGCTGGCAAAGTTCAGTGGAGGGAGGCGCTTAGGTGCGAAACTAAAGAAACTGGATATCTCTTCTCACTACCTCTCAACTACACAGATGCAAAAGTAAAATGGACTCTTCCCTAAGAAGGGGAGCAAGAAAAAGTTAAAAAAAAAAAAAAAAATCAAAAGAAAAAAAAAGTAAACTCATTTATCACATATGCATCTAGTTTTGAATTTCATCATCATTGTCATCATCATTGCTATATACAGCACTAAGCACCAAACATGAAGCCAGGATGTGGTGATTGGAAGAAAGAAGAAAGAAGCTATTTGTGAATGAGCTAACTGTATTACATGGCATCACATGTGAGAAAACACAACTTATGAGAGCATGCAGAGACTGGATTCATATAAGACTGAACAGCATGTCCCTGAGAGTTTTAGGAATTGGGAAGTTTAGAAGAAGATATAAATATTGGACAGATAAATGGATATAAAGGAGGAAGCATAGATAGAATAAAACATAAGATGGGAAGAGAGGGAAAAAGGAAATTGATGAGAAGATGGAGTAACATATTTCACAACCTGAGTGAATCATGCCACTCTCTGTTTATAATGTACCACTGCACAAATTTAGTATGAGAAGGTACAGTACCACCTTATTGTATTTGTCTCATTTGTCTCAAATTCTCTCATACCAAAAAATAGTGGAGTGGTACGAAGTGATCCAGGTTGTGGTGAGAGAGATGACACAAAAATACCCTCAAGGCATGAAGGCTGGGTATCTCCGCCAGGAGAAAGAAAACCAAGCAAATAATGGATAGTAATAATAACAATGATAATAAACAGGCTTTATAAGGGCAAGCAAGTTCCATCACTTTTTTCAGTGCGCAGTGTTTAGTAAGGACGGGAGGGATGGTATATAGGCAAAAAACAACTTTCAGGTGGTATTTGATGGAATAGCAATGAACACGAACGTGCGACAAAATGCAGTATAAGATTGGAAATGTAGGTAAAACAGCAATAATAAAAAAAAAAGGGGGATGATTATCCAATCTAGAGGATGATTCCATGGCTTCGTGGGAGCAGCCTCATCAACTCGGATTTCATGTCCCGTTAAAATAATGGGGAAAAAAAGCGCAGTGGTATGAATGCAAGCAGCAGCTCGAGTAAACGCAAACGCAAAACCAAAAAAAAAAAAAAAAAAAAAAAAAAAAAAAAAAAAAAGAGTCATTCATCCAATCGCGAAAAGTAAATAAACCAGAAAGAAAAGTAAAAGAGGCCAGTGATGAAGCAGGAGACCAAGCGGAGTAGTGAAAATGGGAGAGAAAGGCGAAGCAAGAAAAGAAACAAGAAAAAACTAATCCTGCATCCCCATGAATATATCCTGACAATTGTCAACCAAAAACTGCAACACCTCATTCTTCTTATTCACATCACTCATTTCCCGACTCAAGCTCTCAGGTCTCAGAATCGTCGGCGCAAACACCACCGCAACATTCAAGCTCGTCATCAAATTCTCTTTCTCGCGCTCCACAACGCGCCGGAGATGGAAAATCAAAAATTCAAGTACGTCGCGGTGTACGTTTGGCAGAGTCAGGAGGGCGCGACGCATCACGTCTATACGGGCGGAGGCTGGCGTAACGCCCGTGGCGTCTAGGAGTAGGTCGTAGACATGGTATGTGATTAGCGGAGTGGGTAGTTTGCGGAAATACTGTTTCAGCGCTGAGGTGACGGCGTGGATATCGAGATCTGGGTCGGAGATGTCGTAATCTGGGGACTTCTCGAAACCATCTCGGATCATCTGCACTTGAGAGCTACCACCGGATTTGCGGTAAATGCCCTCACAATCCATGCCTGCGGGAAGTCAAAAGTTGTTAACATCATCTACAAGGAAGGGTTTTGAATGAACACAACGAATGAATAAGTTTTGGGTCCGTACCTCGGAGCTCTACTTCCTCAATACAGCGCGTGACGATGCCGGGAATTACACACTTCTCAACTTCGATGCGTTGTTCAAGATCGCAACCAAAAAGTGCTGAGCGAGAGATCATAGTTAGCATGCTAAACATTCAAGCGAAAAGATATTTGTTTCATAATAGTTCTCACCATTAGTATTATTATTAACCTCAACAAGCCCCATTGTGCTGTCAGTGGAGGGCGCCTTCCATATACCACCAGGCTTGGCCTTTTGGTTGCCGAAAAACCCAAAACCTTGGCGAGACGATTCTTGCATTTGAGCGCGTGAGGGTCCTTCCACCCCGCCTTGCGATGATATGGATCCATATGGGGGCAGTTTCCGTAAAATGGCCTTCTCGTTGCTGATATTTGCCTTCGGCATAGTTGAAAGCACCCTTGAGGCCCTTCGTCACACCCTTGGCAACATGCTGGCCACCTTTTTTCCAATTGAACTTGCGAACCTGACCCTTTCGGATGCTGACAACCTGCGGTCCTTGAAGGAGGGCGGGATGTTCTGCGTCTTCGGATTGCGTATTCGAAGTCGAGACGTGAAGGTCATTCGACGGCCTAGGTTCACGACCCTCAATTGAGGCGACAGAAGTATCCTTTTGGTGGGAGTAAATACCCAGGCCGTTGGGGGCCTTGCGGCCACCCTCCCCGATGGAGTTGGTATTAGCCTTGTAAATACCCTGGATTTGGTGTGCCAGCTCGTTATTAAGCTCTGCAAGTTGGGAGTTCTTAAGGGACAGCTGTTCGAATTCCTGAAAGCTCTTATCTTTCATACGGCCAAGGCTGGACAACTCTTCAAGTATATCATTCCGCTTTTTAATCAACTCTTCGATCTGAGGGGCAAATGTATCTTTGAGGCGTTGTACTGACTGCGCGAAGTCGCGGAGTACAGCTTTGTTCAGTTTCCCTATATCAACGGCAGTGCCACTTTGCTTCTCCGCTTTGATGTGTTCAGTAAGAACTTCCAGCTCTCGCATAACGATCTCCTTCTGGGCCTCGAGGAATACCATGGTGGACCGTTTCTCGCGAAGTTCAGTATTAACTTGTTTGATATTTGTCGAGGAATTAAGCGAAGCCTCCAGCTCTGAAATCCTCTGATCCTTCTCAATAATCTTCTGGCGCTCTCTTTGGAGCTCGTTCTTGTACCAGGCAAGCTGGTCCCGATGTTCAGGGGAACTGGTATTTGGGCTGCTCATGTCATTTGCATGGTTACTTGCAGTTGAGGGTGACTTGGGCCATTTCTGCTCCTTGGAGAGTCGGGCACCTTTATCGCTAAAGCTCCTTCCATGACGGACTGAGTTTGAAACACGCTTTAGGAAGGATTCTTGGTTTTGAAGATCCTCACTACCAAGAATCCGTGCCATGTCTTCGTCCAGGGAGAAGTCTCCAGCCCCACTATACCGTAGCAATGGGGAACCACCGGCATCAGCTTCACGGTGACCTTCCGAATGCAGAGTGTTCACAGATTCATGACGAGAATGGGATCGGCGATGGCCCGAAGGTTTCTGTTTCGATACATTGACGGATGCAGTGCGCTTATGGGGCGAGGGAGTGGAGCCTGGAGCCAATGTATCAGAGGCCCGCTTAGATACAGTGGATTCAGAAGCCTTGGAACTCTTTGCATCCGACGATCTGTCCGCTGTGGGAGGAGAAGGAAAATTCGAGGATGTGGGGGGCGTCGCATCATTCGTTCTACTAGACGTAGGGGGTGTAGGCTTCATGGTAGGCTGCATTTCTTTCTTTTGGAGAGATTGATGCAGTTTGGCCTCAAGTGAATCGCCTCTTTTAGGCGGGTATTGCATTCCCGGTCTCGAAAGTTCGGCGGTCCCATTCTCCTTGGAGCGAGATTCCTGTGAAAAACGTGAAGGTGTTGAATCTAGTTCTGAAGCGATGGGCGTTTCTTTGGCGGACCGGGCGGAATCTCGAGGCGGAGGGCTCATAGCAATGTCATCATTCGCGGGGAATTCCACTCTAGCCGTCAAGCTAAGGTCGGATAGAGATGCGTTCCCAGAGCCTCCCGACTTTCTACCTTTGGGGACGTCCTGCAATTTGAATTTATCTGTACGACCCTGCATATCAGCTCCAAAGCCTGTCTGCTTCTGAACTATGCTCTGCTGGCGGATATTGTCGTTGTTATTAGAAGACGATGCTTGAATTGATGTGTTGGAATTTTCCGTGCTAGCTTGGCGTTTGTGGGAGTCTAGTTCTGCAGGACGCTTCTCCTGGTATGGGCTTGGTTGCTCAGAGGATGCCCCAGAGTGACTCGGGTCCTGCAAGTATCCAGGTCGGTCGACAGGCTGCTTTTTAGAGCTGTCCCTAGGTGCATCCTGACCAAAATAGTCTGGTAGTGGGCCATTGGAAGTTGCTGACAGAGGATTAGGGGAGTGGGGTCCACTGGGTGTAGGGTCAAATGCAACAGGAATCAGGAACTCTTCCCCACCGGATGCATTAGATTTGTGTGAAATAGCAGAATGACGATTGCTTTTGTATGTGCTAGCAGGGAGGATAAGATTGTCTATTGCAACACAAGTGGTTAGTGAAAGAGCATATCGCAAAAATGTTGGGACTGTATATGAGTAAATGGCGCACCTTGGTTAACGGGTTTGGATTCGGGAGATTCCACATTTGCATCATTCCCCATGTAGCTCCTTCTCACCTCGGACCTTGGATGAGAAGAGGGTAATTCAACGGGTGCTTCAAAGTATGGATCCACTGAGGGGGTGTCCAATTCCGCCAAACCATTGTTCGGAGCAACGGTTGGAGGTAGTGACGGGAGAGATTTGTCAAGCTGGACATTGGGGACCTTTTGCCGTTGTCCTCTGGCTGACCGTTTCCTTCGTCGAGCCATCAGCGATTCATGGCAGTCCATACAAAATATACCCTGAGATGTGCGCGCATATCGAAGATTCTCGATCTTCCGTTTGCAATTTCGACACTTAAAACAAGTGGCACAAAAAGCCTGGTCGCCAGTAAGGATGGCAAGGTCCTCAATCTTATTCCCGCAAGAACTGCAACTGTACGTGCAGTTGTTGCAAATGAGGGAACCATCGCCGAGTAGAAGGAGGTTTGCGTCCGAATCGAGAAAGGTACCGCAGGTGTTGCATCGAAAACAATCGATATGCCATCGTTTCCCAGCTATTAACTAAGGTTAGCCTCATGTCCCACAGGAAGTGCCAATTAATGGGGTTGGTGATAAGACGTATGAACTCACCTAATTCGAATGCTTTGCCTTCTTCCAAAATCTTATATCATATGTCTATTAGCAAAGGAAGAAGACTCTAGTAAAAAAGGAAAGCAATTTAAATCAATTTGGGACGCAGGGAGTGCTCAAAGCCATACCTCACCGCAGCCCTGGCATGGAAATGGGATATCATCGTCCAGAGGGGACTCAGGGTTGCCAGTTGGCGACTCCATCTTTCAGTTTTCTCTTTTTAAGTCTCTGGCCTTTTATGACTTCCCAATTCTTGTGGCAGCGTTTTTATTGTATACCAGTCTGGGCGAATCGCGAAGTCAAATATCCGAAACCATTAAAGTTCCAGACCCAGCAATGCAATACGGATACCTGCGTATGGCGGGGGTGGCAAGGATCAATGCCCTTTCCTTCAAGGCTCGTCATACAAGGCCTTCCATATAATAATGAACGGGGTCAAGACTGTTGGGCTGAGATGCGCGAATAGGGTGAATAGGGTAGAGGTAGCGAACGAATATAGTGAGGGGACAGATTGGAAAGGGCGGGGGGAACGAAGGGGGTGGAGGTGAGGACGAACGACAGACGGCTGGTGGATGCTACCGGGATTAAGGGCCAGATAAAACAATAGACGAGGTACAAATGGCCAGTCTGATTGGAGATGTCATATAAGGAAGTGAATGGGGTTGGGCGCAAACGAAAAGCTGCGTGGTCTAACTTTTTGGGCTACAGCCGTATCAGTACAAGTTAGCAACACTGTACACAGATCATCTGAGCGCAAGAACACACACAATAATAGATAAGACGAGGAACAACTAGATGGGTGGACGGACAGCTGGGAATACGAAACGCGCTAGGGGTTGACAGGCGATGACGGGCCGTTGACCGGTTGAAGATTTGTGTTTGTTATCTTCAAAGAAAGACGACGGAGGTGGTCGGGGCGGACCAACGCTTGCCTAGCGAAGGAGAATAAAGGTATCGATGGATGGGCGACGGGCGACAGGCGATGAGCGTGTGAGGTGCAAGGGCTGCTCTTGGGCTAGCCTAGATCGTCTTCTCAGCGACAGGTAGCCCTGGCAGCGGAAGGGGTAAAACGTTGATGTCAAATATAACCAAGATGTGCAGTACTACTGTATGTACGGGACGTGGGGGAGCAATCGATCGACTATGGATCCCAAGCCAACAAACAAACGATATAGTGAGAGAGAGAGAGAGAGAGAGAGAGGAGAGAGAGAGAGAGAGAGAGAGAGAGAGAGAGAGAGAGAGAGAGAGAGAAGATAGGGGGAGGAATAATAATAACTCTCCGTCTGCCCCTTCGTACGTGCAGACGGGCGGAGTGGATTCAGTGGAAGCGATCAGGGGGAGGGAGGAGAAAAGAAAAAAGACACAGCGCGACAACGTGCGAGTTACTACTACAAATGGGCAGCGTGGAGGCTAACTAACTACCAGCAAATCCCCAACAACAACGCAATTCTGCTTATTGTGTGAGTGGCATTAATATTATTCAAATATAATCTACGTATCTTTCTTATCCACATGCACCAGCATACACAGGTGACGTTTCGGAAGTGCAACGGCTGCTGCTGAGCAACTTGGTGTTCTTTGCTGCTGTGAATCCCCCTCGATATATCTCCTGTGGCACGCTGTTAGTTATGGGATTTCCGCCTCTACCTAACAACCACGCGAGATGACAATAATGAAGAAAAAAAAAAAATTTAAAACAATAAAAAATTAAAACAATAAAAAACGCCAGCAAAAGCACGGGAGCGCACGATGCTACCTAGGTCCTAGGTCCTCCCAAAGTTTAAGTAACTTCGCTAGGCCCAATGCTAAACAGCCACTACTGCACCAGAACGACAACCCAAAAGGGCTGAAAGCTGCGAATTAATTTTACTTTTTATATCATGATTAATATTAACTGTTATTTTCAGGGGACGAAAACTGCAAGGGATGGAGAAGACGAATTCGAGTCTAACAGACTTCAAAACAGAACATCATCACATCACGGACGGGATAGCGCTCGAAAAGCGGCAGATGGGATATTTCCGTGCTATTCTTTCCCCAGGTACCATTACATTCTAGCCACTAGGTCGAGTTCCAGTCAAAGCGAAAAACTAGGGAGTGGAGTGGGTTGTTATCTTCTCCAGCCGGTTATCCACACTACCCTACCGTTTCTATTCTTGAATATTCCCGGTCCTCGCTGGCAAAAAGGAGCACGGAGTCGTTATTATTATTGCCTGCCTGCGGCGTCTGTACTATAGTACGTCTGTGCCGTTCAGACATCCAAACAAGCCCAGACTGGTCTTTTCTCTATCGCTCCTTTTCCATAACCAAGGGCTGTCGTACCCCGCTGCCACAATCCTCGTCCGCAATCGTCATCATCGCTATTGATTATTGATAATTTGCGAACTGAACAAGAGTCAGGACGCCTCCATCCACAATAAAAATATATATCACTTTCTCCTTGCAGACTAGCACTAAACGACGGGGCATACACCCCAGCCTAACCGAATATTGAGATGGCTGTTGTTCGGCAGAAGAAAAAGGCGGAAACATATAGTGCTTAATCCTTCCCCTCGAATCTCCAGATTATGACCTCGAGGTCGAAATTGGTCAAGGGTCACGGCCGGGGCTGCAATGGGGAATAAATCCCATTTCCACTAGCGAAAACACAAGAGAAAATGGTATGGGTTCGGAGCGGATAGTAACAGGGGAATGTCAGAAAAGCAAGAAGAATAACTGAAGCCCTCCTCATCAGCACCCGGACAAACGCCTTTGTGGAAAGCAGCGATAATAATTAGCGCCAAGAGCAGCAACTGAAGTATATCTCAAACATCAAGCCTCCAGACAACACCCCCCACCCATGCGCGGTGTTGGCAGCAACATGTAGTTGTCGCCTTGGAATAAATTATCAGGGCCAAAATCCAGGTTTCAGCGTCGTCCCAACTGCAAACAGCTAACCTTAATTACACTACAGAGTACTCCGTACTCCGTACAGAGTACGTACTCTCTCCCCCTTCATACATTTTTAGCTTTGCTGCCAAACATCTCAACCACGCTGCAACCCGCAAGCCAATAATTATTAATTAGCTCGGCCATCAATCAAATGATTTGAAAGTTGAAACAACGCAGCTCATATTCCACACAGCTCGCTAGTCTCGTTCCTGCGCCGGAGAAACCCCAGGAAGCTCTGACCATCCATACCAACCACCCACCCATTATTAACGACACACCCGAAGCCATCGATCGAAAGGGCCGACAAAACTTCCCCTGCCACACTCGATCTCCTGCGACCAGGGTTAGCGGGCCCGCCAGCCAAACAACTGCTGAACAGTCCGCGCCCACCACCCCGGCAAATCCGTTTATTAAAACACTCCGAGAAAATCTTTGGAATCCCGCAGGAGCAAAACTAAAAGACTTTACAAGGGATGGATGCGCGATGTCTCACACATCCGAGTTCAGACCTTATTTCCACCACCCTTGTTTACTATGTCCAAGTCCAAGGTTTAACCTCCCAACGGTCCACGCGAAATTAACGAAGCCCATCGATTCGAGAACCAAAGAGATCTAATACGAATGATACAATTTATGCCATTGACAGCTTCTGTCTTGAACGTGCCTTTAATCCGAATTGTATAGTTAGCTGAACATCTAAAAGAATGTGTAGAATGTCTCCTCTATCTATCCAATTCCTTCACCCTGTGCATCATCAGTCCCTTCCTCTTAAGCGTATTGAAATGCAGCAACAGATTGCAACCGTTCAACCTTTGCCAGTTATATCCGCAAAGGAAAGGCACAAAGTTAGTATCGAACACGGATCCGACAGTTAAAATATTTCAATTCCGCTCTCCCCAGAAATAAAATAAGGAGTGTGCTGTACCTGGCAGTCACACCAAACATTCTCCTAGGTCCGGGTCCTGGGTCCTCTTTCTAAGGATAAAAAAAATAATAATGATAATCTCCGTGAACCACACACATGCTCCCGGTGAATAACTAGGAAAGAAACAAGAGCCACAAAGCCAACTGCACGGTATAAGCATGTGATGGTTGTTCACTCCGCACTCTTCGGATATAACGTTCATTCCCCCTCTACTCCCTACTAGCACTATCCCCAGGGCCATGACTACGCTGCGTATGAAAAGATCGTCGTCGTCCCCGTAGTATGTACGGAGTGACTCTGGGTGACGCCTAATTTGATTGCACTGGTTGTGGCCTTGGGTACATTTTATGTGGCACTTCATTTTGAAGGGCTTGCTGCTTTTATTGGATGTTCAGTCACTGAGTGGCTGCTTTTACTAAATTTACTGATATCAGTGCTTCTATCCAGACTCAACCCACAGGAGCCAAAGCAATCAAATCCACCATGGCTGGGTATATATACCACTATGCCCCCGAGTGTGTCCCAGATGGGATATACATGAATTGCTTTTCATTTCATACAAAACTGTGTTCTTCTATCCTATTTAGCACCAAGATCTGAGCCTTATCATGATGAATAAACCTCAAATTGAAAAATGCAAGGACTATTATATGAAGATTATTCACAGTCTGTCTTAAGATGTTAAGCCAGATCTTGAGAATTCAACAAAAGTTAGTATACAGCAGGTGAGAAACTGCTATAAAAGATAAGTTTGTATAACTCTCTTCATTCTTCTAATCATTTACATATTTCTTTAGATTTATTGAGAAGAAGCTTAATTCACTCATTTCATGCTACTAAATGAAGAATTTGATAATGAATCTTATTAAGACCTTTCTACACTGATATCTTGATAAGTATAATGTGAAATCTCTATCAGGCTTTCTTATACTGATTTATTTCTGAAGAATATATTATTACTATGAGATGAATAAAGACTTCTTCTATAATCTGAAGTGCAAGATAAAAGAGATATATCTATCTGTATTATGAATTTAACAGATATATCTCACTATTTCTGTAGCTCATCTGTACTATAATCAAAATTGAATACAGTCTATGTGAGATAGTTAAGTCTCAGTCATCTTATAACACAGATTTTCTTCTCTATCTTTTATATATTGCAGCTCTATCTGCAGTGTTCTTTTCAACATATAGACAGAGAAGTCAGCATGAAATAATATGAAAGATAATGACAGTAACATCTATATGTTCAGAAATCATTCTTGAAAGCTCAGAGTACTGTAGAATGAATAATACTCTTCTCTGAGAAGATCTTGAACTCTTCATGATTACAGATTCTGAGTA